CAGGAGAATGAGTGTAATAGATTAGTGCTTGACTTGGATCCAAATGATGGAGAATTCTACCTTTTCGAAGTTCAAGGAAGAAGCTCTGAAACTGGACTTATGTAGCTTGAATTATGGCTCGTTTTGATTGGTTTAAGTGCTGGAGAGTTTATATGATGCTCAAGGAAGACGAATGCGCAAAGAATTTTGGAAAAGGGAGCTTAAATCGCAGAAACTGAATTAAAAAAAGATGGGTTCGTGTGAAGTTTTGGCAGGGTGTTTTTGACTCGCAAAGCTTGAAGAAATGAATGGGGGATGACCCTCTATTTATAGGGAAGTGAATGGGAATGAAAATTGGAAGAAACAAGGAAGTTTGGAGAGAAATTGAGTGAAGGTCGAGCACGAGTGAAGTGTGACTTCAATTCCATCAAAACCCAACCAAATCTTGCGTTTTGGGGTGCTAATCACTTCTGACAAGTTTGCTAATCAAGTTTAAATAAAAAATGCGCATAAATCTTGTGTTTAGAAGTCACATTATGGATTTCCAAATTCTGACTTTGTGGAAAATTCAGTTTCAAGTTACCAAATTCAAATCCATGGCATTTCCAACTCAAGGGGTCTTAGGGCATAATTCTCGATGCTTTAGAAAGATGAGGTTACAAGCTTTGCAATGGAAAAATAATGGGGTTAAATGGATGCTTGAGTTGAAATTTGCATTGAGTCAAAGTTGAAGAAAAATGGTTGACTTTCCATACTTAGAAATATTTCAAATTCTTCTTCAAAAATGACCTATAATCTTTTGCATCCAAACATGGCCTTCCACTTAGAATTTGCTCTTGACAAAAAAAGATGGAATGAAGTAGATCCCTTGAATGACATTTTGAAACTTGAACCACTCAAAATATCCAAAAATTGAGCAAGTTATGACTTGTTGAAGTTGGCCAAAAATCATGAAATGACCTATAATCTTTTGCATATTTAAGGCAACCTCCATCCATTTTCTCACTTTTAACATAAAGGAAGGCATAAATTTCACATCTTCAAGATCATTATGGAAAAAGAATGGACTCAAGGTGATGAAAATTGACCAAGTTATGATCAATTGAAGTCACTTGTGTAAAATTATGGATTCATCTGGATGACTTGTAATCTTTCTTCTTCACCAAGTTTCTTCCACATGAAAACTCTTTGGAACTTTTGAAGTGATTTATTGATAACCATTTTAAGATAAGGACGTCTTTTGAATCACTCAAAAATACCTAAAGGTGAGCAATATATGCTCCTTTGAAGTTTAAAACCCTAGCTTCTAGATCAAGAGAATGCCTTGAGGAGCTTTGACAAGTTTGAACAAACTTCTTGTACCAATATTCTTGCTTTGTGAATAGAAGTTGTTGAGGATGATAATGAAGACTCATAGCCACCAAAACCAATTCCATATATTGAAATTTGAGAGAAGTATGCTCTTGTGACCAATAGGAAGAAGGCCTTGTCCAAACATAATAGCTTCTCCAATCAACCCCTTGTACTTTTGAGTCAAATATAATAACCTTGAAATGTGATGAACCAAAACAACCTTGCCATACCAATTATTCCAAAACCAATCCAATGATGAGGTTTGAACTTCTCAAGCTATGTTGACTAGGGCATATAAATAAACTCATGAACCCATGGAGTAACTTGTTAAATCTCATTGCCCTTCACCTATATGGATAACAAGCAAGACAAACCAACATTGCATTTTATTAGTTAAATGAAGAAAACAAAACAATATTCATGATCACAAAAGGAACATAAGTCAAGGTTCTTGGTAATCCCTCAAAAGGAGCAAAACTAAATGTAGGGAGGGGAACCAAGAATCCTAGTGTGATCTTGTTGTGAGTGAATCAACATGGTATGATGAAGGGATCTTAGGGGGGGGGGGGAATTGGGGTACAACAGGTGGCGACTCTTGCTTACCGCGACATTTGCGAACAAAAAACACAAACCAATATTAAACAGTCGGTTCTGCCACTGTATCACACATACCATTATTCAAAACAAAATAAAATAAATTTGGTTGAGTAAAAATATGAAATGCCTAGACAAAATTAGGGTACGACATTACGCCCACGAACTTAATACAAGTTGATTTTGATATTTTTACAGGCTTATCCCAACCACAAATAGATTTTACCACATGTTAATATAGAAGCTTCTTAGAGATTTTCAGGCTGATCTGAATAACCAAAAACATAACCCTTTCTGGCAAAACTCAATAAACCATAATAGAGATTTTAAGACTGATTTATCTCACGAACCAAACTCAATGTTGAAAGCTTCCTGAAAATCTCTACCAAAACTTAAAGAATGATTAGTTTCAAGACAACGTCTCTCTCAACAATTACAAGTCTTCATGACCAAGATCTGAAATCAAACTAGAGGTTAAAGATGAATGAATTTTTGTTTGCAAGAGTTTTAAGTTTTCAAAAATGGGTGACGGTGTTGGTTTTCACAAAATCACTATGTAGATTATGAAATTGCTTTAAAGTTCTTCTTTTGAAATGAGATAACAAAATGAATTTATATGTGCTTGAAATTAAGCAAAAAAATTAATGGAAAAAGTTAGTTACATTGGGTCAAGAACATCTCATGATTTGAGTCAAATGAGATAGGGAAGTGGAATAAGAAAACATAAAGAATTTGACCAATTTATCTTATGATTCAAATCACTTTATAACTCTGATTCGAGTCACAAAGACTCATGATGCGAATCAGGTGTAAAGTTTGATTCAAGTCATTTGAATAGAGCCAAATTAAGAAATGTGAAAACTTGACTGATTCGAGTCAGGTGTAAAGCCTGATTCAAATCAAATGAAACAGAGGTGACCCAAATCTTTATAATTCGAATCAGGTGCAACTTGTAATTTGAGTTACAGAGCTTCCGGGTTCAAATAAAGTTAAAATAGTGATTTGCGTTAGAGAAGTTGAGAAAGTTTGGTTTGTCTTTGTTCCCTTTGATTTGAGTCAGGATATGTACATGAATCGAGTCATGCACATAAAATCTCTATTTTTATGGTTTTCAAAATACTTTGAGATTTTTCTTTCCACCTAACTTGAACTAATAACATACATGGTTCTTGTTCCACCGACTCACACAATTGACAAAAACACACAATGATCAAGCTCAAATATAACAATTGAATTATGCATGCTAAAAAATGAATCAATACAAACTTAATCCAGAGATGTGCAATCATGAAGGAAACTCAATAAACGAAATGAAAGCGATAAGATGATCAACAAAACAATATTGGGATTCTCCCCCTGAACGTATTAGGGAATACAACTTCACGGTGTATAATTTCCATTTGCATGTCCGTCTCCATAAAAACACACTTAAGTGTCTGAATTTGACTCACATTCGCTTGTGCTAGTTAGTAAGCAACTAAATATTTAGAAAGTACTTCCATATGAGCTAATAACGCAATACTCTGGTCAACTATAAGAACACTATTTTGTTTTACCGCTCGATCACTTGAGCGATACTCATTCTGGATCATATTTTCAATCAGTGTTTTTACCTCATCTTCATTCTTCGTTCATAATGTACCTCCAGCCGAGGCATCAAGAAACATTCTCGTTGGTGTTTTCAGCCAACTATGACGACCTGCAACATCTCCTACGTTAGGAAGCATTAAATACACCACCAACGATTTAGATTCCCTCAAAAACTGGTCATAATATTTGAGTGTCCTAGGACAAAAAGGAAATTATTATTGACAAGTTAGGTACATGTGTCAAGAATTCTATGGGAAATTCTATTTAGTGTAAGGAAAGCATTTGATGCATTTGTCCCAATGGCGGTAGTGATGTCCCATAAAGACTCTTCAATTACCTCATCTGACATCTGATTTAGAAGTGTGCACAACAAAATCCGTGTCCCGTAGAGTAGAGATAAGGGTTGGGGGCAACTATTTTTAGTTGTTCGCAAGGCCTAAGGCGAAAGGCCCAAAGGCAATAGTAAAGGAAGCAAACAAGAGAAATATGTATCCCCTCATTCTCACCCAAAGTGGATAACTTTGTCCTTTGATGCATCATTCACCATTCTAATCAATCAGACGATTGTCTGTATAACGTGTCATGTCCATCACAAATGACTTTAACTGCTCCTAGTATATAAAGAGATACTCCTTCTATTCTCAGGTATTCAAATCCATTCACACTCTCCCTTCAGTTTGATTCTTTCAATGACTTGAAAGTTAGAGTGTTAACCTTCTAAATCCACGCCTGTGTCGTCGTACTAGAAGTCATGTACACATTTTCATGATTCATCTCACCACAACAACAACAATTCTGATTTTAAATTTGAACACTAACCAAAAAATATTATTTTATAAAAAAAAAATAAGAGATACACTGATATTTTATATTGTGAACTAATAAATATCATATTTTTTATTAAATTATTTATAATTTTAAAGTTATTTAAATAACATAGTTATTAAACTCTTATTTTATTGTTTTAAAAAACAAATGAAAAGAAAAACTAAAATAAGAAGAAATAGGCCACATAAACTTTTTTCTCCTAAAAATACGTAAGAATTAAAAAAGGAGAATATTAAAATAACGAATAATCTAATTTTAGGAGAAATTTTATTCGATAACTGATTTTTTCAAATCCATAGCATTAGCTATAAATACCCTTGAGAACTTTTATTTCTTCTTCACCATACCTCTTCCATCTACTCTGATTCTTCCGGTAGTTTCTTTCTTCCTATTTCTGTTTTTTTTTTTTCCAAATAAAAGTTCATTGTAACTGCCGCCGAACTCCGCGACTGCAGTTACATGCGTCGTGCAATGTTGCGCGCCGCCGCAATCGCGATGTAATTGGTCGCGACTCGCGAGTAAACTACCTAGGTTATAGACCTTTTGGAATATTGGAAACTGATTGAATTTCTTGTTGAATGTGTTCTTGATGTTCTTCTAGTTCTTATTCATGTTTCTTGTTGTTTCTTCTTTTTTTTCTCCAGAAATAGTAGAACATGGCCTATGCTATTGATTTGAATGCTTTTCAAACCAGACTGAAGTTATTTTATAAACATTGGGATGAACACAGAACAAATCTCTGGGGTTCTTCTGATGCAGTTTCTGTTGCATGTCCTTCACCTTCAGAAGATTTAAAGACTGTGAAATCTAGTGCTATATTCTTGTGGCTTCTTGGATTCGAGTTCCCGCAAACAATAATGGTTTTCACAAAGGTGCAGATTCATATAATGTGCAGCCAAAAGAAAGCGTCAATTCTCGAATCTGTCAAAAAATCGGCTAAAGAGTCGGTTGGTGTGGAGATTGTGTTGCATGTCAAGGCTAGGAACGAAGATGGAGCTTCTCTTATGGATGCTATAATTTGTTCCATTCGCGCTCGTTCAAATTCCAATGTTGGATACTTAGCTAGAGAGGAGCCTGAAGGGAAACTGATTGTTGCATGGGATGAGAAGTTAAGAAATTCGAAGTTTGTTTTGAGTGATGTGGCGAATGGGTTTTCTGCGTTGTTTGCGGAGAAAAGTAGTGAAGAAGTTATGTTTATCAAGAGAGCTGCCTACCTTACGGCTAGTGTGATGGAGAATTTTGTAGTTTTGAAGCTTGAGAAGGTGATTGATGATAAGAAAAAAATTTTGCATTCTGCATTGATGGAGGAGACGGAGAAAGTTATATTGGAGCCTTTGAAAGTTAACTGTAAACTGAAGACGGATAATGTTGATATCTGTTACCGTCCGGTTTTTCAGAGTGGGGGGAGGTTTGATCTTAGGCCTAGTGCTGTCAGCAACAATGAGGCGCTTTACTATGCCTCTGGCAGTGTAATTATATGTGGTTTCGGTGCGCGGTACAAGAGCTATTGCTCGAATATAGCTAGGACTTTCTTGATTGATGCAGACCGTATTCAGAGTAAGGCTTATGAGATTCTTCTGAAAGCGCACGAGGCTGTTATTGGGTCTCTAAAGCCTGGAAATAAATTGCGTGCTGCATATCTAGCTGCAGTTTCTGTTGTGGAGAAGGATGTCCCTCACATGGTTTCCTGCTTGACAAAGTCTGCTGGGACAGGCATTGGTATTGAGTTTGGAGAATCGGGTTTGGATATTAATGCGAAGAATGACCAGATAGTTAAAGAAGGCATGGCATTCAATGTGTCAATAGGATTTCAGAATTTGCAGTGTGAGAACAGTGAGTCTAAGAACAAGGTCTTCTCTCTCTTACTTGCTGACACGGTCATCGTCAACAAAGACAAGACGGATATTGTGACTTCAGTGAGCTCCAAAGCTTTAAAAGGCGTGGCTTATTCTTTCAATAAGGACGATGAAAAGGAAATTCCCAAATCAAAGGCTGATCGCAGTGGTGCAGAGCCTTCGATGTCTAAGGCAGCACTGAGGTCAAACAATCGAGAGGTTTCAAAAGAGAAACTCCGAAGACAGCATCAGGCAGAACTTGCTCGTCAAAAAAATGAAGAAACTGCTAGGCGACTTGCTGTTGGTGGTAATGAGGCAGGAGGAAACCGTTCTTCTTCCAGGTCTTCTGCAGAACTGGTCGCCTACAAGAACATCAACGACCTTCCCCGTCCCAGAGAGATGATGATTCATATTGATCAAAAGAATGAAGCAGTTCTCTTGCCAATTAATGGAAGTATGGTTCCTTTCCATGTGCATTTCATTCGAAATGAAGATATCCAGCCGGACACCAACCGCAATTGCTATGTAAGAATTAGTTTCAATTTACCCGGAATACCTTTCAATCCTCGCGATTCAAACTCAATGAAGTTCCAAGGATCTATATATTTGAAGGAAGCTATATTCCGCTCCAAGGATTCAACTCACATGAGTGAGGTTGTGCAATCCATCAAAACACTGAGGAAACAAGTTAAAGCAAGGGAGTCTGAGAGAGCCGAGAGAGCAACTTTGGTTACCCAGGAGAAACTGCAGCTTGCCAACAACAGATATAAGCCAATAAGATTGTCTAACCTAACGATTCGCCCTGCTTTTGGTGGGCGTGGAAGGAAGATACCAGGCACTCTTGAGGCTCATGTGAATGGATTTCGATATTCTACCACCCGATCTAATGAGCGTGTTGATGTGATGTTTGCCAATATTAAACACGCATTCTTCCAGCCAGCACGAAATGAAATGATTACTCTCCTGCACTTTCATCTGCACAACAATATTATGGTAGGAAATAAGAAGACCAAAGATGTTCAGTTTTATGTTGAGGTAATGGACATGGTTCAGAATGTGGGAGGTGGGAAGAGATCAGCTTATGATCCTGATGAGCTTGAAGAAGAACAAAGAGAGAGAGATAGAAAGAACAAGATTAATGTAGAATTTCAAAGCTTTGTGAATCGAGTACATGATCTCTGGCGACAACCACAATTCAATGACCTTGACTTGGAGTTTGATCAACCTCTTAGAGAACTTGGCTTCCCTGGGGTACCTCATAAATCTTCGGTATTTATTGTCCCTACCTCAGCATGTCTTGTTGAACTGATAGAGACTCCTTTCCTTGTTGTCACCCTAAGTGATATTGAGATTGTGAATCTGGAGAGGGTTGGCCTTGGTCAGAGGAACTTCGATATGACAATTGTATTTAAGGACTTCACGCGGGATGTCCTTAGGATCGATTCTATCCCTTCTATGTCACTCGATGGCATCAAGGTGTGGCTCGACACAATAGACATCAAATATTATGAAAGCAGGTTGAATCTAATGTGGCGTGCTATCCTGAAGAAACTCACCGATGACCCTGAAAGCTTCATTGAAAATGGCGGATGGGAGTTTCTGAATTTGGAAGCTACTGATTCAGAATCTGATAACTCAGATAAAGTTTACGAACAATCGGATACTGATGACAGTGAATCAGTTGTTGGATCTGAGGAGGATGAAGAGGAAGAAGACTCCGATGAGGGTTCAGAGGAAGAAGACTCCGATGAGGGTTCAGAGGAAGAGAAGGGAAAGACATGGGAAGAACTTGAGAGGGAAGCAAGCAATGCAGATAAGGAGGAAGGGAATGAGTCCGACAGTGAAGAAGACAGTAAAAGAAGGAAGGATAAAGCTGCCTTTGGTAAGTTGCGAGGCGGTCAAAGTAGTAGTATGCCAAAGCGGCGCAAGTTAAGATAGATTGTAGTTTGTGTTATTGGTTCATACTAGAATTTAACATTAGAGAGCTATGTCACTGGTTACATAAGAAAGTGTGCGCTTAAAAGTGTTCTTAGAATTTAACATTAGAGAGCTATAATGCTTCCTTTCAAAAACTGGACTTAAACTGTTAATGACTTCTTTTGAACTAAACCAAACACATTCATAACAATTCAGTCTTCTTTAATCAATAAGAGCCCAGATAGAAAGGTGAGTGATTTATTTGATATAAATTGGATAAAGATAATAATCTATTCAACAATTAGTGAGTGACTAAATTGTTGAATGTGTTTTTCGTGTTGTTCATAAGTGTATCATTGGTCATGTTTCTCTGAGTTCTCATTACACATGTAAGGAAAATGTATCATTGGTCATGTCTAACATATTCTTAACCTAATGACCGAAGGAACAAAGTTTAAATGCACTAAGAAATTGGAGGAAATTTCAATATTGAGTAGTTTGTCCGCACAACTATTACCTTTCTTATAAACATGTGATAACGATAAGTTCACGGTGGAACTTATAGATAAAGAATTGTTCCACCAGTTTCTTAATTGCCAAGGCACTACATTGGAGGATTTAAAGGCCAAAACCATTGACACGGAGTCGGTTTCGAGCCGCAGGTTGTTCCAACAGTTGTCTTTGGCTACCTTTATAGCTCTCATAGCTCCAAAGAGCTCAAAAATGAGAGAGTTGTTCCAACCCAAGTTTCAGATGTGGATTGCAGATAATAATACTAGTAAACTCAGAGTATGGATTGCAGATGTGGAAACAGGGAATGGTAGACCTTTGTTTCAGTCTCCTGATGTATATTTGAATGCAGTTTTTGAGAAATATGTTTGGGTAGATAACTCTACATTGTTAGTTTGCACCATTCCATCTACTCGTGTAGCTCCACCGAAGAAACCTTTGGTTCCTGGGGGACTGAAAATTCAATCTAATGAAATGAAAAGCGTTATTCAAGTAAGAACGTACCAGGATTTGCTGAAGGATGAATATGATGAAGATTTATTTGACTACTATGCAACATCCCAGCTTGTTTTAGCATCTTTGCATGGTACTACGAAGAATTTCGGACCACCAGCTGTTTATACATCTCTGGATCCTTCCCCAGATGAGAAGTACATTATGATTAATTCCCTGCACAGGCCGTACTCTTTTATTGCACCTTGTGGAATATTTCCAAAGAAGGTAGAGTTATGGAGTGCTGATGGAAAATTTGTCAGGGAGCTTTGTGATTTGCCGCTTGCCGAAGAGATACCAATTACATCCAATAGTGTGCGAAAAGGGATGCGTTCTATTAATTGGAGAGCTGATAAGCCATCAACACTTTACTGGTATAAATTGGAGTTTTTTATTTATATTTCTTCATGGGCATATACTTTGGCAACATCACAATTAAGTCAACTTTTAAAACATGCATTTTTTATTCATTTGGACCTTTTCAGATCTGCAGTTGAAAGAATTTTTATTATTTCTTAAACTCTTTTAAGTGTTTGTAAATTTAAACTTCTTAAGAATGTATTAATAATGAAGTTCATTGGCATGCAAATAGTACTAAGCATGCAGTTTTTATGAGCAGTCATTCAGGTATCCACTTTCATCACAATATTTGGGCGCTCTTCTTGTGGATACTATGTTTAGGCATTTGAAATTGTGTTTTACCTTTTACTGAGTTACTCATACTGCAATTTGCAAGTCAATATTTGAACACCCAGTACTACTTTGTTAGCTGGCCAAATGCAAAAAGAGTTAAGGTTACAAATTTCCCTCATCCATACCCTCAGCTTGCATCATTGCAGAAAGAGATGATCAGGTATCAAAGAAAAGATGGGGTTCAGCTTACTGCTATGTAGGGCAATTAGTTGCAAGTGCAGAGGCTGCTGTGGAAGAAGTTATCCGGCGTGGGGTAAGCTTTTGTTTTTACTTGTGTAGTAGATTAAGTTATCAATCCAATATAAATATCGTTTGAATCAAGCATTTTTCGGTTATCCCCTCTAGGTAGCTCATCCAAAGAAAATAGTTGTTGGTGGACATTCCTATGGTGCGTTCATGACTGCCAACCTCCTAGCACACGCCCCTCATCTCTTTTGTTGTGGAATTGCTCGTTCTGGTGCTTACAATAGAACGCTTACTCCTTTTGGTTTTCAGGTACTACCTATATAATGCCTCGATTTTTATTATTCCAATTGCATAGTATTTTCCATGACTTGTCTTTAGAAATGAATATCTTACATGTTATACACTACTTTCTTTTGTAGAATGAAGATAGAACTCTTTGGGAGGCCACTAATACCTATGTCGAGATGAGTCCCTTCATGTCCGCTAATAAAATTAAGAAGCCTATCTTGCTTATCCATGGGGAAGAGGATAATAATCCAGGAACATTAACCATGCAGGTAAGATAGAAATTTCCATCCAGGAAAACTAACTGACTATTGAAGTATTTGACAGAAATAAACCATCTTCTAGCCTTACTTTAGCCAATTTCTTGCTGCTTCTATCCTTTGTGCTGCTATGCAGTCAGACAGGTTTTTCAGCGCTCTGAAGGGTCATGGTGCTCTTTGTCGGCTGGTGATTCTGCCTTATGAAAGCCATGGTTATTCTTCCAGAGAAAGCACATGCATATGAGATCCATGTCTAAGATACATCCAATGACTCCCTGCATCTTACGCCTAAAAAATAACAGGTGATTACCGTAAGAGCAAAATTTGGATCTATGTTTAATCTCTGAGTTTTGATGATAATAAACATATATTTTATGAAGAACAAACTTAGTTCTAATGTTTCATTGAGTGTGTAGATACATTATTAGAATTCTGGATAGTCTTAATCAAGATATCATCAGAATCACTTATCACTCAGAAGAAGAACCATTGAGTTTTGTTACTAATGTAACATCAGTAGTTCTATGGAATGCTGAATGTTCGAAAAGAAAAAAATCTCAATGAGTTTCCAAGAAGAAAGAGTTTCTGATAAGTTGCTGCTACAAGATCAGAAATCAAGATTGCACAAGAAACAAGCTTACAACGCAAAAGATCAGAAGTCAAGATTCGTTCATTAGAAGAGTTGTTGCTTGGATTCTAAAGACGAAGTCAAGATTCTGAACACATAAAGAGAAAGATTATACTCCAACGTCAGAAGTCAAGATTTGCTCATCAGAAGAGTTGATGCTCATATTTCCTAAGACAAAGTCAAGATTCTAAAGACTCAGAGAGTTCATGGAATACGTACCTTCATTCAACATCAGAAGTATTCCATCAGAAGAAAGAAAGAAAGATCTTTTGGACTTATTTCTAATCAACATCTCAAAGTCCATCAGAAGACAAGATCAAAGAATAATATCTTCTCAAGCCAATCTACTCAACAAAAGTAATATTTGTTAGAAGATAAATATCATCAGAAAGACCATTGCATTCAACAGAAGAAATATTGTGACCACTTCTGCAGAAACATCAGCAGTTCTAAGGAATGATGAATGTTCATCAAAAAAGGAATCAATACAAAGATCAAGAGATCAGAAAGAAGATATTCAACGACAAATCAGATGTACTGATATAAGCTTTTGCTTCAGAAATCAGACATCAGATATACAGCTTAGAAAAGCTGATTATCAAGAGATCAAGACAAGGTCAAGATGAAGTAGATCAAAAGAGTTTTCACACAAAGAAGTTTTTCATCCGATAAGTTGTTGCTTGTATATCCGAAGACAATGTTCTAATATCTGAAAGATCATGACTCTACAACAAAGAAGAATCTTCTGGATTATTATCACTCCTAAATCTGAATCAATCCAGCAAGAAGAAAAGAATCAAAGCTAAAGAATTCAAAGACTTGAGAATCAGATAGGCTGTTGTCATAATATCTGATTTCAAGGTCCATCATCAAAAAAGCTTTTGATTTCTTCATCAGAAAAGCTTTCATGTACAATCAAGTCTTGTTTCTCAGATAGGTTGTTGTCGATCATTCTGAAGACAAGAATCCGCTATTGAAAGTATCTGAAGTGAAGCATTTTCTCAACACAATCTCCATCTTTCAGATCAGAAAAGAAATATGCCTTCAAGAGTAGTTCTAGATCAGAAGAAAAGCTTTATGTTTAGATAGGTTGTTGCCCATAATTTCGAAGACAAGATTTTGTTCTGACACTCTGGTGTTCCTGCCTACAACAACAAAGTAGTTTTTGAACTACTCATCAGTAAATCATCAGAAGAACGAAGACATGTGATTGATCTCTTCAAAGTTTAATACTTCAGAATCAGAAGTACATTGTCAAAAGATAAAGATCAAGAAACTTAGTCAAGAAGATAAGAGTACAATAACAATACTATTCAAAGATGTTGTTCCCCCACTGACGTACGCAATCTACTTCAAGCAGCAGGTATAGGAAAGTGACGTTTCGTACTGTTCCAAATCTCTCTTGAATATATTCGTTGTGAATCAACAGTTGGAAGGAGAAAAGACTTCTATTCCTTACAATGATTATATTCATATGAAGGTTATATAAGAAGATTAAAGCTTTAAATTCAAATGGATGAAGAGTCCATTATCTCAAGACGAAGATATTGACAAAGATATTGGCAATGTCTAAGTCCATACAATGTTGATATTCTTAATAGAAAATACCCTACAACGTTGAAGAGATTAAATGAATAAGCAAGAAGTTGTTGCTCATATCTTGCTTAATGAAGAAAAAAGATGAAGATGAAGAATTCTACAAGATGTTATTTAAACTACCAATCATATACATCTTGGCAGAATTATGAAGAAGCAAGGAGTTGTTGCTCATAGCTTGCTTAATGAAGAAAAAAGATGAAGACGAGAAGACTACAAGATGTTATTCAAGCTACCAATCACATACATCTTGGCAGAATTATGAAGAAGCAAGGAGTTGTTGTTCATAGCTTGCTCAACAAAGAAGATGAAGACAAGAAGACTATAAGATGCTTCATTTAATTTAGATTACATTCATCTTTGTGGAAATA